CCTCATTCAGTCCTTCCTTACTTGCCTCCTTCCTTCCTTCCCTCACTCAGTCAGTCCTTCCTTCCTCCCTTCCTTCCCTCATTCAGTCCTTCCTTACTTGCCTCCTTCCTTTCTTCCTTCCTTCATTCAGTCCTTCCTTCCTCCCTTCCTTCCCTCATTCAGTCCTTCCTTACTTGCCTCCTTCCTTTCTTCCTTCACTCAGTCAGTCCTTCCTTCCTCCCTTCCTTCCCTCATTCAGTCCTTCCCTACTTGCCTCCTTCCTTTCTTCCTTCCTTCCTTCCTTCATTCAGTCCTTCCTTCCTCCCTTCCTTCCCTCATTCAGTCCTTCCTTACTTGCCTCCTTCCTTCCTTACTTGCCTCCTTCCTTCCTTACTTCCCTCATTCAGTCCTTCCTTCCATTCTTCCTTCCTTCTCTCATCCAGTTCTTCCTTCCTTCCTTTCTTCACTCATTCAGTCCTTCTTTCCTCCCTTCCTTCCCTCATTCAGTCCTTCCTTACTTGCCTCCTTCCTTCCTTCCTTCCCTCCTTCAGTCCTTCCTTCATTCATTCAGTCCTTCCTTCCTTCCTTCCTTCCTTCCTTCCTTCCTTCCTTCCTTCCTTCCTTCCTTCCTTCCTTCCTTCCTTCCTTCCTATCAGCCAAACGTCTGCCATTTATTTACAAATTTTTAAAATGCTGCAAAAACTAAAAATTGCAGAAAGCCTGTTTTTTGTCCCTTAGCAAAATGAGGGTAAAAAAACAGGTCTCTTACAAAAAAACGTGCAGGTCTCTTACACATTGCAGCGTGCTGCAATAATGGAGAGCTCTATGTATGAAAGTTGTTGTTCTGCAGGTGAAGGTGTATAATCTGATGCAGTATGAGCATGGGACAGACGACGTCCTGGTGATGGGAACTGATGGCCTCTGGGATGTCCTGACCAATGAGGAGGTCGCTGAAGCTGTCAGCACCTTCCTGTCCAACTGTGACCCTGATGACTTGCACAGGTGGGTGATTTTTCTTCATTCATACAGTTCGTACCTTAGCTCCTCCTATCCATGTCTGAAGCTAAATCCAAATCATCATTATTGCATGATGCAGGTATACAATGGCCGCTCAGGACCTGGTGATGCGAGCGCGAGGCGTGCTGAGAGACAGAGGATGGAGGATCACCAACGAGCGTTTGGGCTCCGGTGACGACATCTCAGTCTTCATCATTCCCTTAATGTACGGCAACCGGCAGCCATGACAACCTTTCTACGTCCGAAACACAGAAAACTCCTTTTCATTTCCCTTTTTTTATTTATTTATTCCTATTTTTTAAACAAATGTGAAGGAAAAAGAAACAGACTCTGCTGGTACTTCATTTCTCTAATCGGGTCCAAGATGGCGAGCAGTGCTATAAATCATCAGTTGGGATCATTTACACTATGAAAAAAGAAGAAAAGGCCTGTTAAAGGTTTATAAAGCAACAATCCTCTCAGCTACACACAGACTTCTGAAATAAGGAGAAACATTTTTTCCTTCCTGTCATCCTTTTCTCTCTATTCCTTTTTTTTCCATCCTGTGTGGTTGGCTTGAACTCGGACGCGGCTGACAGGTCAGCTGCTTTCCTTCCTCAGCTTCGCCACAGTGTGGCTTTCAAGGCTCAGCTGCAAAACTGGAAGGACGACGTGGCGACGTATGCTTTGGTTACAGTACAAATCTGGCTTCATTCCTTATTTAATAGTAAGGTTCTCCTTTTCACTATGTTGCACACTAACTGACACAAGTTCACTTTTCATTTTTTACAATGCACTTTTTTAATTAGTTTGCAGGAGCTCAAAATACAGCACCTTGCATAAGTATTCCAAGCACTTTAGGTTTTTCCTATTTCCTTTGCAGCAAAGACACACCTCTCAGCATTATGGGATTGTTCTTCCTTAAACCACCTCAAAGTAGTGCACACTTAAAGGTAGAATGGAGGTTTTTTTGCAAATTTTTTAAAAGACCCATCCTCCGAACTTTAAAAAGAAATGCACATGCACAACCCTGTACCCGCTCCCGAGAGGGAACTCCTATTAAAGGAGTGTGAGAGCATGCATGAGCCCATTTCTCCTCTTGCACGCTCTGTTTAAAAATTTATGTTTGCATCACAAATAAAAGCTTAGTTTCAAAAAGAAGATTTGCAATTTCTCCACAATGTCAGACTCACCACCGGAGGGTGAAAATTGGGACGAGCACGTAGGAGAGCCTTATGTAAACATATCACCAGGATGATTGACATTTAGGAGGACCACTTATTTTGATGATCCACCCCGAAAAACTATTACTGCAAGTACAGGATGAATTTAGTCTCTTCCTGCTTTGTTCGCTCCTAACTATGAAATAAATACCTAGACATCCATCATAAACTAAATTAGAGCCTTGGGTTAAGCTGTTCTGATCTAGTCCATCCTAACTTGCTGGAAGGTTGATCCTTAAGCTTCCAATCAACATTTTTATGTTCTTGTCTGCTGTGTATAAAAACATTCCCATAGCATGATCCTACTGCTGCCACCACCATGTCTCACTAGTAAAGGTATAGTGGAGGATGTTGTTTTTCTGGGTGGATCATCAAAATAAGTGGTCCTCCTAATTGTCAATCATTCTGGTGATATGTTTCCGTAACGCCGTCCTATATGCTCGTCCTGTTAATTATCTTTTCCTGCGTGCTTTCTAGTGTGTGTTTTTCATCCAGTCATTGAAGCTCGCCTTTCTCACTGCAGTTCTTTGAAAATGGCAGAGGATCGTAAGAGAAAAAGCATCTATGGAGTGTATGAGAAGAAGAGAAAGGCCTCCAACGAGAAACAATTCCAGAGTGTTTTTGGGACATTTTTGCACACATATGTGGAGAAATCCATTTCATATCCCTGCTAGTAAAATGAGGAGGAAACGGCTTGTGCACGCTCTCGCACTCGTTTAATAGACGTTCTCTCTCGGGAGGGGTTACAGGGTTGTGCATGTGCATTTTTTTTTTTAAGTGGAGAGGCCCGTTCATTTAAAAAAAATCCTCAAAAATCCTCCACAATACCTTTAAATAAAGTCAACCGAACCATTTCAAGAATACTTTTGCAAGACGCTGGATTTAAAATGTGTCTATGTTTTTTTTTACGCTGAATCTAAAGCAGGCATCCCCAAAGTCGGTCCTCGAGGGCCGCTGTCTTGCAGGTTTTAGAGGTTTCCCTGCTTTAGCACAGCTGATTATGATGATTGCTGTTGAGCAACGGCCTGTTAATCAGCTTGTAATTAAAATAAGCTGCACTGGAGCAAGGAAACCTCATAAACCTGTAGGACAGTGGCCCTCAACGACCGACTTTGGGGATGCCTGATTAAAGGATTGTCATTCCTAGTTTCTTTATATTTTCTCCTCCAAAGAATCCGACTCTCTTGTTATCTTTTAAGGTGGTTTAGATTGTTGGCTCTCAATGCTTCCTGGGAGAAAAATTTGTTAAGTTTTGTCCAATACCTGATTTATAAAAGAACTTCGGGTTTTTTATTTGAATAAGCTTTAACGTTGATCTGAGTTAATTAGTTAAGGGATAAGCTAGAAAACAATGTGAATCATTGAACATTTACAGGAAAAATATTCAAACGAAAGCTTTGATTGGATCCTGATTACTAGTCCTACAGTTATACTGAACATTTTTTAAAGGGGAGAAAAAGGTGTAGACTTGAACACGTTTAAAGCTATACTGCAAAATACTCTTTGTATTTCTTTCTGGTGCCAATCTAAGCCAAAAAAAAAAAAGTTGAAGCATTAAATTCACACTGGAAGTGCTGTATAAATCAGGTCAAGTATCTCTGTGTAGTTGCACAGCAAGAGATGAGATATAAAGAGTAAGGAGGGAAGTATTCCCTGCAGCAGGGAAAATGCACTGCAAAAAATTTATATCTAAAGGGGTATTTTTTTCTAGAAATAAGTGTATTGTTATTTGATTGAGGAGGGAGGTGAGACACTTTGCCAATGGAACAAGACAATTTACATTTAAAATAAGAAAAAACAACTTGATTGTCCTATTTCAAGTGCATATTATCCAATTATATTATCTTTAGAGTAAAAAATCTAATTCCATTAGCAAATAATCTTATTTACCTACTCAAATTAAGGATAAATACATTTACTTTGAGAAAATTGTACTTATTTCTATATCGTTTTTGCAGTGTAAGACTGAACTGAAATACAATCATAATTAGCAAAAAAAATAAAATAAAATCTTGTTTTTTTGTTTTCTTTTCAGCTTTATTCAATGTTTGCTGATGCTTTAAATTGACGCTGCCTCAGCTGGAAGTAACTCTATGTAAGGATGTAGTTTAGGATATGCAGTAATTTATTCTAGGCCTGGGCTGAGAAATGGTGCAATTGTTTCATTTGCTGTTCCTTTTTTAAGGGCCTGCTTTCTATGTATGTAATGTATCAAGTGAAATGTGTTGATATTGTTTTTGAATGTCCAAAGATAATGTTTTTGAGACTTTGTTGGTTTTAGCTCTGAAAGCATATAGAGATTTCTAGCAAAAGCTCAAGGATGACATAAAAAAGGGCGAATATGGAGAACTTCTGCATGCTTAGAGGTCAGCTTGATAGGACTACTCAAAACGGACGCACAGAGTCGTCACTAACGAAATTAATTACACACACCCCAACGAACGCAAAGAAATAGAGGCGCAAGTAATGTAGGGATTCTGCTAGATCTTTAACACAAAATCATGGAAGTAGAAATGATCAATATTGGATGAAACCATGTGAATAAACACATGGTTGGTCCTGTTGAGGAGATATTGTGCTTTTTAAATCTTATATGAACGCTTCGTAATGTAATAGATTTAAGTAAAGAAATAAATCAACTATATGAAGCAAACCTATTGAAAGGATGATACAAAATCTGCTTTTTATTATAAAAAAGAAGTTGTCCCCATTTTTTTTGCAAACAATTCACACCAAACATGCAGAAAAGAAATAAAAAAAAAAGAGTTGTTTGTTATTTTCATCAGGTAATAAAGCCTCAGAAGCAAAAATTGTCAGAAGCAACGTTTGTCTAATAACTTATCCCTAAGTTGATATAGTTTTAATTTATAAGAATTAAAAAAATACTGCTTCAAAGTTTTTTAAAACACAAAGGAGACAAAGAGTTATTTCAAGTATTGACCTAACAGGTAAAGACTTCACCGACTAAAATAGAAGTCAGCTTTGAAAATAACCAAGGAAGTAGGCCTAATAGCAGTAACAGTTAAAAACTGGTCAAAATTCACTGAATTAATTCCTCCCTTTATCGTCTCCCACTCATCTATTATCAATTTGTAAGCGTACATCTTTATATTCTGCTTTTACCTGTTAAAAGGTTAAAATCATGTAAAGTGCATTTTGATTAAATTGAAATGAAACGGCTTTATCTTATTTTAGCTCATTTAGATATTTTTAACTCTTAAGCTGATAAAGAACACTCAAACTAATAGTTTGCACATTTTAAATTCACTAAAATATTAGATTATTTATATAGCGCCAATTCACAACATTTCATCTCAAGGCAGATCATACAGTCACATTTATTCAAAGTTTTCTATCTAAGGAAAACTGGTTAATTACATTGACTTAAAGGCAAGCCCTCAAGCTAAGCATGCTTGTAGCGACAGTGGAGAGGAAAAACTCCCTTTTAACAGGAAGAAACCTCCAGCAGAACAAGGCTCAGTGTGAGCGGCCATCTGCCGAGGCCGACTTGGGTTCAAGGAGACAGAAGCAGACATAGAGAAATTTCTATTAAAAAGCATAATTTTCTCTCAACAATAAACTGAAAACCCTACAACTTTACAGGAAGTTCAACAAGGAGCTGCTTAGCCTTATGTAGCTTAGCTTATTTTAGCTCATTCAGGTCAGTTTATGTCTAAAATAAGAAAAGGCAAAGCTAAACTCTTGATTACTGCTTCAGAAAGCCACAACTTTTGTAAATTATCCTCTATAAATGCACTTGAAGTCCACATTTAAGACTCTTTTATTACCTCCAACCATTTTTTTTTATCTTTTATTTTAAACTAAAACTTGGCATCCTTTCAGGGAAGCAGCAGCTCATTTTCTCTTCCTCCAATGTGGTGCTGTGTTCCCACTACTTGCCAATTTTAAAGAAAAAAATCACATTTCCTCATTAATTTCTTGATTATTTTTGTATCCCAGCTAATCTTTTGTCATTTTGAAGTGGTTCTATTTCATCTGTTATGGTTTAGGCCTTGTTGTCATAACGACTCTGCTTATATGACAGTAATAGGAATGTTTTCTATGTGAAATATGTGTTAAACTACCTTCTGATTGAGATATATATATATATATCTCAATCAGAAGGTAGTTTAACACATATATATATATATTTGTTCTTAGATGAATATGACGTAGATGATTTGTTTGCTTCGTCCCATTGGGCCACCCAACTCTTGCACATCGGCTCAGGTTCGACAGTTTATCAATGTTCATCCTTAGTTGTACAGAAAGCCTTTAGTCCAGTTCAATCTACCTGATTCTTGTCATTTTTGCTGTATTAATAATATTGTTGAGTTTTTTTTCCTACATAACCCTCTATTGTTATAAGACTTGTGAACCTGGGGGGGATTTTTTTTTGTAGCAAACAGGGACTTTTAGGCCAGTTCGGGGTCCTTTTTAGGTGACTATTGTGCTACCCTTAACTTCAATGTGAATGTGACGTCATTTTTTTAAAGGAAACAAACTCGTTGAGCAAAAACAATGTCTCTTTGCATAAGGTTGATGTTAGAAGGATTTAAAAAACTGTTTACCTTCAGTGTTTCTTACCCAGAAATATAAAAAAGAACAAATAAAGATCCGTGATGAATAAAAAAAGCAGTTTCTGATTCAGATTATTGATTATTCGGTATGAGCTGCCTTAAAGGTACGTCATCTCATCTTTCCGATGAGTCGTTACAGTTCATTCTGTAGCAAACTGGTAAAAAATGGCCAAAATATTTGACCCAAGGCATTCAGTTTAAAGGTAATTTCAGCAGATACTACAGAAATGTGTAAGGATCTGAATTTTAAAGACTTAAAATAAGGAATTTATGTTCTCAGATTCATGAAGGAGAGCAATATAATCTGTCAGTTTCTAAAGTTTCTCTGTAACCCAGAGTTTCCTCGATACTCTAATTTAAAGCATGCAGAGTGGTGTCCATTTACCTTAAGACCTATGTAGAATGAATATTCCAAGGATGTATTACAGGAATGTTTTAATATTAATGCTTTGAGGTGTTTAATTGAATCGTGCAAAATTCAGGAAATTTTAGGAAATTGTTTTGTAAACATTAAAGTGTAATTCAGAAAAGAAATTAACTTTTGAATGAAAATACTGTTGAACTGGAAATCACTTTATATTCCTCTGAAGACACAAGCATGGTTCAGTAAACAAATTTAACAGCAGAAAGGTTTGAAAAAAAAAAGCTTTATTTTATAAAACTGGATGCCATGTGATAAAGCTTTATTTGTTGAATAATTCATGTTTTCCAACAAAACAGCAAAGTGAACAGAAAAGACTAGATGGTTAATTATGTTGTACAATATTTATTTTGTAATAATTATCACAGGTTTTCCTGCTAAAAAGGTAGATAAACAGTTAAAACATGTATGGAAAATAAATAAAAGTAATTTCATTCTGATTTCTGTAAAAAATGCAAAGACAACTTGTTGATTCTCTTTTTTTCAAAACTCTTTTTTTATTTAATGTGCCAAACTAAGCAAACTAATTACACTTTTCCAAATTTCTAAACATGTTTGTTTTTTTTATTTAGAAAAATACAAAGCTTCAATGAGAAAATAAGGAATTATAACAACATCTAGTAGATGTAATAGAGAATACCGGTTTTGCGCCGCAAAGTGCGCATGGATCTCTCAGCACATGAATCCAAGCGGGATTATAATCCAGCGTCCTGATGTCTGCTGCGAGTCACCGGCGCCGGCAAGGCAGTAGATTGCGCAGTCATCTCCATATGGGGCAGCACTTCAGCCCAGCCAACAGCACAAACTACTACCTCAACCTGCGCCAGTCTTCAAACCAGAGTCCGCATCGGTGCGTAAAAGCGCACAGCGAGGAAAACCCTCACGCTAAATCCAGCACAATAAATAAATCTTTGCAACGGTTAAAAGACATGATGGGATCAAATGTCTCCTATGCATGTCCAAGAATGTAAATATTCCACAATTTGTCCATTTGTTCGCCTTGCCTCTGCATCAGGGGTCTGCAGCCTGCAGCTCCTGCACCCAAAAGGCGAGACAGTCTCAGAAAAGAGGTGAACGTCACAGATTGGAGGCGTGGTCTGCTGGGAGCCTCGCTGAAAGCTGTCCCCTGGCGCCACCTGCTGGACACATCTATAAGGGCAGCAAATCATACCTCTCAAGAGTTGAGTTTTTAGGAAAATTCTTTGTACCGGTACATAAAAAAAAATTTTTGAATTATTATTATTTTTTTTTTTTAAAGCCTGTGTGTTACATAATTTGATTTGGAAATAATTTTGCTTGTTTTTGTTGTAGTATTGTATTAATAGTTTTTCACCAATACCAGCACTAAAATGCTATCGGTGAGTACCAACAAATAGGGCCCGGATGCCATTTTGAGAGCCAAAAGTTTATTCAACTATTGTCACCCATTCCAGATAGGCTATAAAAATTTCTACTGGATTCACTTTGTATTAGTCTGCTTCACAAAGGTAGGCAGCATCTTGACAAAGCCATGATGGCAATTATTTTACATCCAAGTAGTATGCAATTATTCATATCTACATGGTGGTATCGGTATTGGCCAATACTGCACGGCCAGGTATCGAGGCCAAAAAATGGCATCGGCGCAACACTAATTAATGCAGTTGCTCTTACAGTCTGAAGGACAGGACAGCTCTATAGGTTTCAAGAACAAAAAAATTTGATTTAAAAGGAAGATAATAGAAATTTTCATTAGACCAGGGGTCTATAATCTTCAAAATCTAAAGAGCCATTCTGCCCTTAATACAGCTGGAAAAATTCAATTAGAGACACAGATATCTCACCTTTAAGTGATGTTTGTTAAATAGCTGCTTTTTCCCTGCCTGAGACCTAGAACCTTATTCTGGGCTTTAGAATAAAGAAAAACATTTGCATTAAAAGGAAATTTTTTCTGGATGTTTATCTCTAGAAAATTCTCTGAAACAAATAGATTACAGGCCTTGGGGTTCTTTTTTTATATACAATTACAGTGTAGAAACCCAATCTCATTATACTTTGAAAAAACTGCTATTGCTTCTAAAACTGGCATTTGTTATATTAATGTTCTCAGAAACATTGCTTATTATAGGTCAAAAGAGCCACAGTTGCAGACCCCTTTCGACCATAACTGCTACCTGCAGAATAAGGCTTTATAATCTTTTTTTTGTTTAAAAAAAAAAAAAAGCTGGAAAAAATCTAATTGCTAAATTAACTTTACCCCTAATCAGAATTCATATTTTTTATTTATTGTAAAAGAAAAATCTAAATTTTCATCTAAATGAGCAGAGGTGTAATGAAATGCAGTTTAAATGTAACATTTCCAAGGCAGGTTTCAAATAAACACAAAGATTTGCCGGCTTTAGCTAACCTTTGCAGCTTCCCCAGCAAGACATATAGCTGTTAGATCCGTCTATGCCACTCCATCCTGGTCCTGTAGACATATTGTAGATGTATTGCTCTTCATTGCCAAACTATGTAGAAATCTGTGCTCTCTTCTCAACATGTGGTTTGTTTTCTTCTGAGCTGCAAAAACAGAACCCTCTGCAGAAGTGAATTAAAATCAGCCCTGCTTTAAGCAGGTTATGTGTTCTTTATAGTGTTCTGTTGTAGAGAAAAGCTGACCATTAAAAGCCAAAAATTGTGTCATTCCACGTGTTATTTGAATATATTTGTATTAGTAAAGAAAGAAAAAGACACAAACTGTTAATCAGAGGGGGGAAAAAAGCCACAGGAAGCTTAACTTTTATTGTAATTGTGTATAAATACACATGCACAATTCAAATGTCAACCCAAGTGAACTCAAGTGCAGCCAAACCTGGAAACTTCCATACGTCTTCATGCAAGGACATCTGAATTCATTTTTTACAAAAGAAAAATCCAGTAACAGAAAAAAAAAAAAATCTTTTTAAAAAAATATTCCCTCCCTGACAAGACTTCGCAAACTAGTGTGTAACCGAACACCCGACTCCTGGCGTCTTGCCGAGGCTTTAAATATATCGTCATTTCATTATTAAATGCTTACATATAAATAAATAAACTTTATCAAATGTGCACTCACAGAGTGAACTCTTCTGTACAATATCGTACAAGCCTAAAGAAGCGATCGCGTCCCACGGCGTTAGAATGGGGAGAGTCGGCCGATGGAACCAGAGGCGGAGCCTCGTAATGGGAGGCGACAGGAGCTCTGCCGCATCACTGGATGATGGTCCTACGAGCTGAAAGGCTTCAGGTCGACTCACCCCACCTCCCCCGCTTCAAATCCCACAGACACACCCACCCACACACACACACTAGAAGCGTTTCCCCAGAAACTCGCACAGGCAGCATCAAAGGCGGAGAACCTGTTACCAAAAAGCAAAGAGAGGGCCGGAAAAATCGAGGGAAAAAAAAACAATCAATCTAAAGGCATGATTCACATACATGTGGTCTTTGTTCATTCAGTTCAGTGTACATTCTGGCCCTCTTGTGGGTTAAAAAGAAAAACTTGGAGGTGAATATAGCAGTGTGTTAATGTGGAGTTAAGGCCGAAGTGATTTTAAGAGGAAGTGGGAGGTATGAAGAAATCAGAGGCTGATTTTTAGATTCTTTACGCACCAAAGGGGAGGAAATTTGATCTTTACTTAGTCACCGAACGCATCACCTTTAAGCATCATGTAAACTTAGGCTTTATAATGTCAGTGAGGTTTAAAATGAAATCAGAGGGAAGCCGTCTATCAAAAAGTAACAGCAGCTTCTCTGGTTCATCCTCCTGAGCTGATTTGAAAAGCTAGCTACGCATTTTTTAAAAGATTTACAATCTAAGAAGCAAAAAGATCTGATTTAGCAAAGCTAGACAGCTTCAAATGTTTAGTCTTCAGCTCTGAATGGGATCGATCCAGAAAAATATTTTGTAGAAATCTGCCTGCAGGTCAAAGCTGTAATAAAACTGGACAGGACTAAAGCTTCACATAGATATGAAGAGCAATGAGGAGGCGATTGGCAGTGTGGAACTTTTTCCAGCACATGTTTTCTGCAAAACAATCCACAGTATGTAAGTTTGACTAACAATCTTTGACCTCTAAGATGTTGGAGTTAAAATGCGACCAATCAGAATGAGAGATCAGCTGCTTGAGCAGCAAAAGCAGAAAGCTGGGATATTTCATCCGCTTCTCTACGTTACGTCTATTTATAGATGCAGTTCGTCTGGCGTTCTAAAGGAGGAGGCGGAGTAGTGTTTGTGCAAGTTCAAAAATATTTCAGCGCATCATGAAAACTCAATGCAGTTCAGTGTTTAAAAATATTTACAAAATCCAAATAATACTAAAATGATATGCAAACAATGCACTGCTTAAATAACATTTCAAATAAAGAGAAAAAGGCGGCGGCGCAGCAGCAGCGCCTGCTGAGGGCGCCGTCATCAGTCTTTATGCTCTGTGGGAGTTGATATCGGCGACACGCTCTCTCAAACACACACACACACGCAGTGATTCACCCACAAGAGGCTCCTGATTTATTAGAGTTGCGTACCGAGGCAGCTCCCCCAGCCGAACAGTCGATGTCCCGGCGGCGGCGGCCTGGTTCGGTCCGTGCGGCTGAGCGGGGCCGGTGGCTCGCTGCAGCGCCGTGTGTCCCTATGGCTTCATGATGCACAGATCCCTTTCTTATCTCTGCTTGTTCCTGAATCCGTATACCTCAGTTGGTTTTCATGGTAATGTCATGATTGGATACCTCTTCTTCCTCCTCCTCCTCTTCCTCCTCCTCTTCATCATCCTCCTCCTCATTGATGTCGTTTTTCCTGCTCTTGTTCTCGATCGGCTCCTCGTCGTCGCTTTGTGCGCTGGAGCAGGCACCCTGAGAACACGAGACGGTCCTTCTTTCTAGGAGCTCCTCCGCCTCGTTCTCCTCAGCATCCCCACCTTCCTCCTCCTCCTCTTCATCCTCCTCTTCATCCCGGTCCAGGGCAAAGTATCCGGTGCCTTTGACCGTGTCCTGGCGCTGGTAGAACAACACATAGCCGGCTTTGGACTGGACAGAGAGAGGAGAGAAGGTTCTGCTCATTTCATTCATCCTCTGTGATTTCATTGGACAACTGCAGAGTAAGGTGAACATCTGATTGGATAGGGAGCATTTAAAAACATTCATTTTCAGGTTTGAATTGACTTTCTCACTTGGTTTTGTTTATAGACTTTGACTAGGACGTCCTAAACTGACCTCTTCCATTACAGTTCTCTTTCATTTTAGGGTCTCGGTCTGAAGCAGGGGCTAACAGGTTATAAATGGGCGGAGTTTAAACTCGCTCTAATGCAACTATTTAATAGAATCCTTCTTACCAATCCTGCTATTTAATGTCACCCATGCTTCAAGTGATGCCATTTTATTTATATACTCAGAAGGGGCTTTAAAAGCATAGATTGCATTTGATTCTGCAGTTTCACACTTTAGAAGCATAATATTCTCCTTTTTTGTAAAATAAAATAAAAGCAAGGGATTTTTTTTTCAAAGCACTGCAGACAGAACAGGACACTCACCACTATCTGGTCCTCACTGGCTGGAGACACACTGCTGTCGTCAAAGTAGTACCACTTCCCGTCATCTTTGCTCTTAGCATAGGCGGTGTCTGAGAAGAAAATCAAAACATACAGTCTGGTTTCCTCCATGATAAGAAACGACCTTTCTAACTGGAGCTTTTATAGTTGTTTAGTGTCTGAAACTTCAGATTTTCCTACAAACATCTAGATTTTTGATGAGAAAGTTTACAATTAAACACTGGAGAACAAAACACACTGTCTAACAATACATTTGAATTATTAAAAATCAAGAAATGCAGAACTAAACTTAAAGGGCTAATATAAAGATGCTGTGAAATGTCTTAATTTCTGAATAAATCTGTATTATATACATCAGAATTAATAAATTAGACAAAGACATGAGTTCTAATAAAACTGATGATAAAGGTGATTAATTCACCTTAGAAATGTTTAGCCTTCAGATATCAGGTTAAAATCTAAAACTTTTCTCCACTCTTTTCCAAATTAGGGGTCCTATGATTTACTCTTTTTCTTCTTCAGAGTCTCTTTTATTTTTCTTCATATTTCAAGTTCTGAATTCAAATATTTTTATTACATCTTTGGGAAAATGTCAACAATTTTTATGTTTTTTTTAATCAAAGCCGACCCATGTCTCTTCTTAGGGGGATCTCGTATTTAAAAAAAATTAAAAACACAATACCGCCACTAGGGGTGTGCAAAATAATCGTGATGATGATGCATCGTGATTCTAATTTTCGTGATCTACTGCATCGATTCTTGAT